AAACCTTGTCTTATATGTTGCAAATATTTTATGTAGTTCACCATTTAATTTCAACCTATTTTTAATAGAAGTCTTACATTTCTTTATGTCATAAAATGTATTAGTTTTATTTCTGGCATCTACAACATATTTGACTTATTCTTATTGACTACAAATATTTTAAAAGTATATTTACTAATGTTCACTTCTCCAAATTTGAATTGATAAAAACAAGTGGTGACTTCAGATTTTGAAAGAAAATTTCATATGAAAATTAGAATCTCAAAGTATAAATTTAACATGCAAAAAAATCACCCGTTCCAAAACCATATATATAACACATACTGATTCTCTACATTTTAAAAATAATAATTGAAACATTTACAAATAAGTTCAGACACACAAAAATGAGAAGGTTTCTATATTTTCGACATGTTCCTCCTTTTTTTAAAGAATTATATTTACACACATAGAGTTTAGGAAGCTCTCAGCACTATAAATCCATTGGTTGCTATGTTGAGAATTGTGGGAAACAATTTGAAAGTGAGAGGTTTTTATGTGAAAGTTTCAAGATGTTCTCAAAAATTTTAAATATTTCCAATAAGATATGTTGTAGAAAACAGGCTGTATAAAGTGGAGGGTAGAATGGGGATCACCAAAAACTTCAAATAGGGCTTTGTGTACTCTCATTTAGAATCTTTTACTGAATTTCAAGGCCTAGATTATTTTGTTTATTTTATTCTTCATTAAAGTGTACCTCTGCCTCAAACTAAAAGTTAAGTGCCAAAATTCTATGCATGTCTCTTCTCAAAGTGTTTCCAGAAAGATGAGAAACAGGAAGTACTGAAAATCCTGTGAGAAACTCCGTTTTTAGATTTCTAGCTCAATATGTATTGATGTAGTGCGGTTTCATAAATTGTTCTGTGGAACACTAATCTTAAAAGAGGCATCTTACTAAGAGCTTTATTTAATCTAAGCTTCCCAAAAACTTGATAATGGAATTCTCATTTTGCCTAACGAAAATATCATGCACTCTAAAACATGCAGTGTGGAGTCAGCCTCAAGTTTTGTGGTATGCATTTAAAGTTAAGCTAAACTTGTGGCTGAAGCCACATCGGAGTACTCATCGGAGTACTTTAGCTACTTAATGTTAGGATGCTAGTGCTGTAATGTCTTTATTATGATCAACTTCCGTATGTAGAGGACTCTGTCCTAACTGAGGTGGCCCATCTCACCTCACCTGACTAGGGAAAGTGATAGAAAATCAATAAAAAGCTTCAGGTGAAAAAAATGGAATATGATGAGAATGTTGAATAAAAAAATTCAGTTTAGTGGTAGAAATGTTAAGGAAGAATGGTAATTGAGAAAATCTAAGTTCAGACATTTAAAACTGCTTAACAAACAAATTTGTTTTTAAACGTGGGAACGGTAGATAGGTTCAAGTATTGTGAACAGCAAGTACCCAAAATAACCACAGGGATAGCAGCATATTAAAGAAATGTTAGGGTGATACCTTGATTCCTGGTATAATATAAATGAGTAGAAGTAGGTAGAGGTTTCATTTTGCTAAATCAAGAAGATGAGAATATGTATGTATGTAAGTTCTCATTTTAATAGCAGTGGGATGTCCTGGGAAGATTTCTAGTCTAACAAGTTAGAAGACATGCGTTTTCAAACCTAGTTCTGACAGTTAATAGCTACATGATTTTGAAAAAAAGGTTTAAATTATTACCTGAATACTAGTACTTATAACTTCTTTTTAGTACATCACTATATTTCTTTAATCAAAGGAGAGAAGGGTTTTCTTAAATGCTGCACAACTATAATGGTATATTATAAGGATGTGCTAATAACTAGAGATAGTGTAGACATTTTTGGCAAGTAAGTTTTGGATTCAAATCATTTTGGAAGTAATAAGGAAGAAGCACTGACTTCCAAGGTACATAATAAGCATGGATGAGAAGAAATAAAAAGAACAGTTGTTTGGAAGCCAAACACAAGGAAAAGATGAAATAGAGGGATGAACTCTGTCAAAGTAGAAAGAAGGATCAAGAAAAGATGGTCTTCTTAAAGAAGCCTAAAAACATTGTTAATATAAAAAATTAATAAGTAAATTTAGTAGAAAATGACTGGTATATAGGGGCTGCTAAGGGAGTTCTGAGTGAAGAAATAAGGTGGGAAAATAACTAGAAGAGATAATTTCCTGGTAAGACCACCATTTGAGAAACCATGTGACACATTTCCAATTTGCTTGTAGTTGTCATATTACTTGGGTTTCCAAATCCTTTGAGGTGTCTGTGGGGCAGAATGACCTCTTACTTCCATAACAATGGTCTTTTCACTTTATATGAATACCTCTTCTAAGATGACATGCTGCGTTGATGTCTTTTGACGTCATGGTACATGAAAGGTTATTTGGCAAATTATGGAAATTATTGTTTGTTCCAACATACTAATGTATATTCTGTTTGCTCAGGAAAAGCAGATGATTTATTTTTCTCCATATTCAGAATTATTTCCTTTGGCACCACAACTTCTTTGATCAACTGTCCATCCTCAGCCATTTCCAAATTATACTGAAAAACAAAACAAAACACACCTCCCTCCTTTATTGACATCTCAGCAGCAATCTCTATGCAAATACCCTCTCCCTGTACAAAGCATACACCAAAATTAGAAAATAGAAAAATATTCATGCAAAAATCTGGAAAGGATGTATTATGTCTGAAACAGACGTTTCTTATAGCTTTTCTTTTCTTTTTTTTTTTTGAGGTTTTCTTTCTAAAAATAAAATCCTTTGAGTAAGAATAGTGTTGTATTTTGCATAACTACTGACACTTAGCAACTAATAAATACAAGTTGTAACTAAAACTTCATATTCCGTACTAATTATGAAAAGTGGAAGGCCAGTTCTCACTTTATTTCAGGGACAAAAATGTTAATTTGGAGTTTTTTTCCAGTATAATATGACTCTATAACTTCCAAATTTTAAACTGTATACAATCTTCATTTTGGCAGTAATGCTAAGGTTTCCTGGTAGTAAGCTATCACTCCTATGAATTTGAAAGACAATTTTCTTACAATTTATGGGAATCTTGCATCTGATTATTATTCCAGAAATAGAAACAAAAGTAATTTAAAAAGCAAACTGAGAATGAGCCAAGGTATCAGTTTTAGTTAATTCTCATATGAAAGACCAAAAATCAATAGTCACAGAGAAAAATTCCATTGGCATCCACAGCCAGTAACATTTTGAACCAGTAGAGACAATGGACAAACTTTTTCCCCCTTTAATTTCTTTTTTAACCATGAACTTCTCCAGCAGCAACAACTTACTGGCACAGAAGAAAATACTAAAAGATGTAGAACCATACCTATCCCTTAGAGATACTGTCTTTTATCCTACTCTGATTTCCTTGCTAAAGTGTTTTAAAAAAATAAAGTGACCATTCCACTAGGTTCCTCCAATCACTGTACCCAAGATCTGTGCAAATTTGGTTTCAGTGCCTGGTAGAATGCAAGAAACTCAAAGAAAAGCATGGTTTTTCTTATCTTGAAAAGACAGAGCTTCCCCTAATGGGATTAATCTGAGTACAGATTATCAAATTCTCAAAGTAATTACCAAAGGTGCTGCAAATTACTAGCATCTTATATATTGGTTGGGTTTCCCAGGCAGCTTTTTTTTTACCATATGCCTGGCCACATTCTCTTTTCTATGACAGATTTGTTTGCAAAGACCCATAATGCTGATAAGCAGTTCTTGTCACACTTTTTCATCTGTGTAAGAGGCAATCAAACATTATAGCTTGTCCTGTAGGGTATGGACCTGGAAAGTTTGACTCTTCAAACACACTGTATTGTATAATTTAAGAATTAAATTTAAAACACTCCCTAGTGTCTTCATTTTGAAGACTTATAGAAATGATTCAGTGCTATATTTCTCCAAGGTGAATTAAGTACTCATTCTGGTGTGTTACTTTTGAATAACACCTTATAAACTAAGGACTGGTTGAACCTTCTGAAAACAGAACTAAGAAAATGGAATAAGCCTTTTTCTTGAGGAATACTAGTATAGTAGACACTCTATAAATGCTTTTTATTTCTAGTCAGTTGCAAAGATCCAAGAGAGCTTCTGCTTTTCATATGCGATATGCAAGGGGAGTATCACTGCAAGAGCTCTAAGAGAAGGGAGGTTCTTAAGATTGCATCACAGAGCAGAACATCCCTATTCCTGGGACCCTGACACTGACCTAATGGAGTCTTTCTTTCCCAAACCATTTACACCCTGATTTCAGAATGTGTTGTGCTGTTAGGCCTCATCCAGAAGCTTAGATTGAGAAATAAAGAAAGTTAGTGGTTATGATACAGGACCAGATATCAAAATTCCTAAGAATGTGGGACTTTAGGTGGCTAACTTTCTGGTCCTGTAGTTTCTGCATCATTATACTCTTTCCTGATCCCACAGAACTACAGTGAAATTTAGCTAATGTGAATGTTTTGAAAATTCCAAATTAATGAAGCAAAGCACATTAAAAATAGTTTTTGTATTTTGTTCCAATTTTTTAACTGTTCTTTTTCTTACTGTGCCCATTTCTTTAGTGAAAACTATATTGTAACTTACCAGACTATAATTGCCTGGATTTAAATCAGTTACCCTTGGGTATAAGATACATGCTAGCAAATAAATTATGTTAGGAAGTAAACATTGCCTTGTCAATATCTGGTTTAATAATTCTTTTTTGTTAGCTTATATTAATTGTACATAGGGGTTTCATTGTGATATTTCCATACATGAATGTACTTTGATCAAGTTCACCCCCTCTATTACTCTTACTTCATTATGTTAATGGTAAACTAACATAATCTTTAAAAACTATGTAGATTCTTGTCTCTCATTGTTCATTACTTCATGGTGAAATACCTAATTCAAATTTCTAATCCTGCACTCAGGAACTAGTTGAATTACAAAATGTTTTTTGTATAGCATTTAAAACTTATATCTTATTTTCACTTCCATGTAGTTTATTAGAACATAAAATCTTAGAAATGGAGGGAAAACACAAGGAAGAGTTGGACACCTTAAAGGAAGAAAGAGAGAACCTTCAAGGTTTGGTTACTCGTCAAACATATATAATCCAGGAACTGGAGAAGCAACTGAACAGAGCCACCACCAACAACAGCGCTCTTCAGAAGCAGCAACTGGAGCTGATGGACACAGTCCATAACCTCGTCAACCTGTGCACTAAAGAAGGTGGTAAGAATTTCTTCCTGACTTCAGTTTTGTAAAGCTTTGTTTCATTACGAGCAAGTAAAGATTCAATACAACTTCCTCTGTTGCATTGATTGCTGTATTATACAGCAGATGAACTTTATTCTTAGAAGTATTTATACACTTTTTTGACAATTTTCTTATGTTTCTAACTTCAGAGAATTTATTCATAAGTTTAAATTTGTGAATACATTATATGTTTTTAAAAGAACTAATTTCTTCTTTTGACTTTGGTCTTTTCAACCTTAGGTAAAAATCTGTTATAATGTGATGGATAAATACTTGATATTATGATGTTAGATGCTCTATTATATAAGATAGAAATTAGGTAATGCTAAAGAATAGTTCAGAGTTCTGGGAAGTGTTTCAGGAGGGTTACTATTTTACATCTAATGTTAATTCCTTTTTCAGGAGAGAGGGGAAGGAAAATGTTGCTTGGATAAAGAGAGTTCTTAATAATTATTCTGAGTAAGAAATGATGATTGCTATTAAAAGTATTTCTTAAGATCACTTTTCCTTAGACCCATGCAGAGAATAACCAACGTGTTTTTGGATGTCATTGATGATAGGAATTACAAATTTTTGATGTTGCTAGTGTGTCTAGAGCCATAAAACCATTGGAAATATTTGCAGGCCTGTGCTTTTTAGAATACATCCATCTGTCTATCCCCCCATCCACCCAAAACCTGTTGAATGAGGTCCTGGTGTGTGCACTTGTCCACTACAAGCAGAAACACCCCTGAGCCATAGCACAAGCCCTTACAGTTTGTAGCTTAAGGTCATGTTGTGTAGTTCTCCTCTATTTCTCTGAGTGAAGATGGGATTATAAATGGTGATGAATGGAAGAGAACAACATTTCCATATTGAATGCATTGAGCTGTGGTTTACATTGATTGTTGATGTAAGGGTTCAGTATCATATACAATGTACTTATGTGGATATTCCTTTCTTTTAATAGTGGACTTTAAACTACATGAAGAAGTAGCCCAATTTCATACTTTCATGTAGAGATAGAAATATACAAGATAACTTCATATTAAATGATCTTGTTTTAAAGACATTTCACTTTTCTCTGTTACAGTCCATTACCTTAAGTTATATCTCCTTTAGATAGTCTAAACAAGCCTTCAATATACTTTGTAAAGTGACATTTTTTAAACAGTGAGTCCCAAGCGTTCCATTTGGGTGTGCTCAGTAATGTGCTTGGGAGGGAAAAAACCTGCTAATCAGACACAGCCTGCCAAAACCCTGAGTTAGAGTCTACTGGAAAGAAAGCATGGTAGGATTTTGCCAGAAAATTTTAATAGAGCTCATGAGTATTTATAAATTAAGTATTAATATGAGACAAATTTATTCTCCTATTGAGATGAATATGTTTGGGGCAAGATTGAAAACACATTTTTCTTATCATCCTGAGTCTTAAGCGTATGGAGTGGGGTAGTATTTTGTTCATAATTTTAGAGATGTCAAGGTCTGGTGATTCTCACAAAGCTCATATGTCTACCTACTTATTATAATTTAACTTCTTTCCTGAGTATTTGTCTTACAAATATGTCTTTAAGCTTTTAGATGCAGGGAGTGTGATTTTAAATTTTCTGCCCAGGTTTGGAGCTTGGATCTAACACCAAGCATCTTTTCATGTCATTTAATGAACAATTATGATGGCAACCATGATAGATGCTACCCTTAACATCCACTCAGGGTGTGAGAAAAGTAGCTATGTCAATGTATCCTATGGTATAGCACATCCAAAAACATAGCAATAATGATAGAGATTGAAACTGTCTAATGTTCCAGGTCTCCAAGTGTCTGTTTCTTTTACTGGTACTCTCTTGAAACAAGTCCACCTTTAAATGCAGGACTTGTAAGTCGAATGTAAGGGTATTACCTTATTATCGTATGGGTTGTGTATTCTCATAGCCATAGATTTTACTTGCTTTTTGTTAATCTTTATTTTTCTTTAATCTCAATTAAGTATTCTATCTAAATATGTAATTATTTTAGGCTTATAAAAGACATGAAACTGAAAAGTGTCTCTCAAAAGGCTTCTCTCAAGTTGTTGATTCTCTGCCTATCTTTATTTTCACTGGGGCCATGATCTTCAGTTACTTTGAATTTAAATTTTAAAATGTCTAATAGCATAATATTGGATTAAATTTAAGTTACTAAAGTGCAGTTTAATTTCATCCTAATTCTAAAACACATATGTAAAACCTTCCTCTACTTTATGGTTCAGAATTTATTTATGATATAGATTTATTATTTACTACATTATTATATGTAAATATTTTACTTTTAAATTCATATGTATGCAAAATTTCAAAATCAATACTTCATAATAAACGTATTAGCTTTTCTAAAATATATATTTTTAAATTAAAGTAGTGATTTTCTGAAAGACTTTCCAAAAGTATTACATGTTGTATCATAATCCAATACCAAAAATTTTAATTGACCCTAAAAGTCTTCTGGTTTCAATTTGAATACAATATGCAACACAAGAGCATACATTTTTGGTGAGTTTTCTCTGTTATTGGCAATTAATTTAACCTTTATGTAACTGTCTCATCATTTATAAATTCAGGATAATTATATCTAGGGATATAAAAGGGAAAGAATTAAATTAGATACTCAATGTAAGAATACAGTCCACTCATTCATCTTTAGTCCCTTTTTTCTCCTCCAAGGGACAGGATTCAATTAAACATACATTAGTTAAACTCTTCCTGTAAGCAAAATTTAATTTACGAAAAATGTCTAAATACAATGCCCCAGAGTATTTGACTATTTATGGTCATCCAACCTGCTTATTTTAGCCCCGGTTTTCTGATATCTAAAGGGGGTTATTATTCTTACCTGATGAGTTTGTGACGTACCATAAATATATACCACTTTTGTCAATTGGGTAGTTCAAAATACTGAGTGAATTTTAAATGTTTTCACTACAAAGAAATGACAAGTGTGTGATAGTGTATTAACATTACACGATAAACAAGTATGACACATTTGATACATTGTAAGAATCTTTAAATGCGACAATCTACTCCCACCCAGCACAACAATAAAAAAATAAAAGGACCTATTGGCTAGAGAAGTACCTTTCCCCAAACATTTGTTTGATCTGGGAACTATAAATCTGTCTTTGCATATAGGGAATATTTTAGTCTTACAGGACTTTTCTACTAAAGTATCTGATGCCATGAGATATGTTTAAAATAAGTACAACTAATTTTCTGACATAATTCACCAAACTTTCCTCTTCTTGTTCCAAATAGGCAATAGTAGTGTCTTAGGCAAATTGTCATTTCAAAGTACATCATATCCATTTTGTACTGCTTCTGGGTAACACATTTATTTTTGTGTAACATTTGTCTGAAAACATTTGGTTACATTAATTCTTGAAAGAATTACCCACTAAAGAAATACTGTCTTCAGTTTTATCACAGTGCCAAAACTTAGCTGACTGCTTCATGTTTTGGCAATTCACAGTTATTGCTGGAATAAAACAGTTTACATTGATAATGGCATAAAAACAAGGTTTGGAATTCTTTAGAGAAGGATAATAGGGTACTATGACTGCCACTGATAGTCACTAGTCATCTATGTACACCGGTGATTAAGCATTACCTCATACATTGAACACACACGAGGCAAGCATCATATTACATGACTGTAAATTTAATTAATGGGCAAAGCATGCAAAAATTAAAAAGGAAGAGAGAAAATTACAAAAGAAAACATTATTTAGGCTCTGTCGTGAAATGACAAAGACTGATTATATCACTGTCCAAATCAGCTTGAAACACATTCCTGATGTATGAAAATGTGATTCATAACTTTATCCATTCATTCGAAAAATAGTTCTGCAACAACTATTCTATTTCAGATTTTCTTCTGGGGGATAAGGATGTTTATCCTCTTTTACTTAGGAAATATTTGCTAAGTTCCTTACAGCATGCATGCCAGATATTGTTCAGACCACTCGGAATTAAAAATGTATTTCAGTCTATGGCTTTAAGGAACCTAGAGTTTGATAGAAAGAGAAACTAGTAAATGAACAATTATATTTCAAAGTACTTTGTTTTCCACTCACCAGGAAAGCAAAATGGTAAATATTAAAATTGTTTCAAAGAGAGAGGATGAAGGCAGAGTCTAATATTTATGGGGTCTTCTTGGAGGCTTATTGAATGATTATTGTAACTAGCATTGACCTGTATTAACTTAGTACTCATTAGCATGAGGGAGCTAATAAGTCTAGCTCCATTTTATGACTTACACAGAGAACTGGAGAACTTGTTCAAAATTATGTAACTGGAAAAAGTTGATCTAGGATTAAAATACAGGCGGGACGGCTGTAATGGTAATGGAGAGGTGATGACTAAGGCTTGAAAATGGAGAAAGAGGAGGACATTCCAGAGACACAAGCAATATGCGCGTTTGCCCTGAGCCATGGGAGCATGGACTAGGGGTGGTATATATACATCCACAGGTTAAATCTCAGAATCAAGAGCAGGGAAACAATAAAAAGTAAGGTTAAAGAGGTAAACTGAGGGAGATCAAGGAAGCAATGATGAGGAGCAATTATCAATATGCAAACATTATGGTGACATTTGTACTTTAGAAAAATTACCCCAGTCACAGTGTAGGAAGAATACACTGGGAAGTTGAAAATCCTGAAAGCAAGGAGACTAGCTAAGATGGTCATGGCTAAGATGGCCATTATTATGTTAGCAAATTCATAGCCCAAGGCAATCTTCAGACCTCTTTGCATATATTAACTTACTTAGTTCTGATAACATTCCTACAAGATAGATGTTACTACTAATTTCACATGAAAGATAAAGAAACTAAGTGCAGAGAGGCAAATAATTTCCAAATAACACTGTGCTGGCAAGCTGGTGAGCCGAGATTTGGACCCAGGAAGTCTTGTTCTGGAGTCTACACACTACTCACTGTACCATATTGAGAAGGGAACATAGATTGAT